CTAGCATTCAGAAAGCAGCTCCACTGGAAATATAAACTTCTGAGTAGTGAAATACCACATCCTGCTTCATCTTCTTATTTAACGTGAAGGCTGCGCTCATTTCTGGATGGAGAAAGCAGCCAGGCCGTGGAGAGGTCGGGGGACTTCCAAGCAGCAGACCGGTCCAAGTGCGCATGGCGCTAGCTCCGCATGAGCCCATCGGCCCTAAGAGAATTTTCAGTGGCTCTTCATGGTGCATCTTGGTGTCTGCGCAGTGAGCCACTGTCTCATCTGCCCTGTGAAGAAACTGAGATTCAGAGAGGTTCAGAGTCCTATGCAGGGCCAGGTGCAAACTGGTGAGAGCCGGATTCTGGAGACCAGTTCCCTTCCTCCCACGCCAGCCCTTCCTGACACGGCTCTTACTGCGGAAGAATGACTTTGCGTTTAGCAGGTTTTTAGACGTAGCCTGCTGGGAAATCGGAAATTCAGAGCAAACACGTAGGAAGCGTCGGGAGCAGAGCTGTGGTTACGCAGAGGAGGGGGCCACGTCCGCAGGCAGAGCGCACACGAGCCTGACACTCCCGTCGGGTGTCTTTGCACGTCCTTTCCACCTCCCTAATCCAGCCTTTCCGGATCCAGTCACCTCCAGAAAGCTTCCCGTCCAGCCCACCTCAGCCTCAGTGACAGTCATGGCTTACAGCTCAACGTGCCCACTGCCGGCTCACTATGTGACACTGAGGTCCCCACGAGGCAGAGGGGCGCCGAGACTGTCTCTGAGAGCTGATGCGCGGGCGCAGAAGCCGGCACCCTGCACACTAAGTCCCCCGGCCTTTCTTTCTGCTTCTCGGCTGGCATCTCCCCGCAGAAATGAGCGTGGCCATCACAGAAACAGACAGGAGCCACGGTTTGCTCATCATTGTCTCACAGAATGTTTCACCCTTTTGGAAGCTACGTGTCCCCATGGGACTGTGGGGTCTACTGGAAAGGCTCAAAGGGCCCAATTCCAGTTCTCAAACTCCCTCCGCTTCGCTGTGTGACCTTAAGCAGATCACTTCGAGTCTTGGTCTCCTCCTCTATCGAGTGCGGGTCAGCAGGGGACTGTCAGCACTTTGCCTCGGTGGCGGGGTGGTGGGGTGGGGGGTGAATGCAGTGTCCAGGTCTGAAAGCACACAGACGTCTGTGGAAGCAGGTGTTCATGTCTCAGTCAACGGTGTGGCCCGCGGACGGGGCCGGGTTTTGCTGGTGACCTCCGTTTTCTTTGCTTTTCCTCTTCGGGTTCTCACTCAGCTTACCGAATGCCTTGGAGGAGACTCAGTACCTAACCGTTCAACTGAGCTGACCTCCTAGGGAAATGTATAATACAAAGTTGAACCTGAGTCATGTATGCAGTGCAAAATCTGAGCTCAGACAACGGTTCTTACTCTGAACTAAATCGCCAACGGGGAGTGCTGAGATTATAGTGGGATTCGATAACTTAATTGGTTAGGGTAAGAGATGCCTTGTATTTCAGAAAAGTTAAAACTTTCCAAAGAATGTGGGTTTTCCTGTTCTCGATTCTTCAGCATCCTCATAAGGTATGAGGGAAGTTCCTTGCAGGCATTCGGCATGCTTAGTGAGCTTGGACAGGGAATTTCATCAAGGCATTGTGGGTAGAAAGAATCTTTACTCTCAATGATGTCACAGCAGCCACAGGTCAGGAAAACAATACTTTATAGTTTGTAGTAGATAAATTCTTTTCTGAGGAATTCTCAGCAACATCTCAATTAACCAGGACGTAATAGAGTGGAAGCCACTTCACGTAACTAGTACCAACCTCCTCCGCCGCACCGCCCCCCCCTTTTTTTTAATTTACTGCTCAAGTCAAAAAGAAAATTCACAGAAAAGAGAATTTGTATGAATGAGTTTCTGGGGTTACTCTGAAGTCAAATGACACTCAGCCCAGTCTCCTGTAGCTTCCATGTTGACGTCTGTACTACTGTATGTGACAATTGAACCTCAGAATGATGAGCCTATTTCCTGTAAAAAAAAAAGGTTATGTCTGCTCTAAGTGCTATCATAAACTCGTACATATAAGAAAGAATCAAGCCCGTGGTTTCCAGACCTCGACTTCCCGTGGGGACCCTCTGAGAGGGTGTTTGATTTAACACACCTTTTCTTATATAGGTGTCAAAAACTGAGACGTACAATGGCTGTATTTTTCTTGTTCATCTTCAGATGCCGCTGCCTGGGAAAAGTATAGAGAAGGGGCTCATTTCCTTTAAAACTGATGTTGTTACGGCCACTCGATCTTACTGCAGTTATAGTGTTAGTTCCCTACCTTGGACAAATATGTAGCAAGACTTTTATGATTGGCTTGGGGAAAATAAATCCTGAATCACAACCGTCAAATTAAAAATAAAATCCCCATTTGGGGGCATTTTAGTTCATGTATAAATTAGAAACAGTTCCTTTTACAAGAAGGCAAACAAGTTGACTAATACATTTGAAACATGAAGAGCTGAAAAGACTGTAATCATTAACCTGTTCTTAGTAGGGTTTTTCTGAGTATCCTGTACCATGTTAATTGATTAGCTTCAGGTAACAGTTGCAGCGAGACTAGCTAGGGACTTTGCAGTCTTCCGCTCGTGTCACGTTTTACGGACCTTTCCGATGACAGCCATTGCTAGAACCTTGTGTTGAGCAGAGCCGGCCCGTCTGATGGACAGTTTAAGCGAAGGGACCCGGTGGCCTGTCTCACGAGCGTGAGTGAGACGTCAGCCTTCCACAGCTCACCGTCGGGTCCACACGGATGAGACTTGTATTTCCCAAGTCACTTCCCCTGCAGTGTGGCCTCTCATTTCACCGGCAGAGGATGTAAATTCCTATTCGGTTATTTATTTGTTGGCGTTTGTGCGGCTGTGCCTGTGTTCATACGTCCCCTAGGGGATTTGTCCACTCGCAGAGGCTGTTTCAGATTAAGATTTAATCTCTAGCAGGTCTGGGATGTAATTTGTTTAACTCACTGTGTGATGAGCATTTAATATGTGCTATTTGATTATTATAGTATGTCTGTATAGCTATGTGATAAAATATATTTTATGATTATTAAATATGTTTATGAACAAATATTCTTTAAAATGTGTGATTGGGTTATGATACCTATTCTTCCAAGCCCAAGGCATATAGTTTCTATAAATCCCGAATAAAAAATTGTCTTCCCAGGTGGCAAAAAGGTTTTATCAGTGTGGCTAGAAATACTGAGACTCAGTGTTCCAAGATGACCATTCCTTCTGAATTCATGATTCAGAAACATCAACCCACAAGACTCTCTCTCATTCTGGCCTCAAGTGTCATACAGTGTGGTACACAAATGTAGATACCGGATTTTAATCTCTAGCGTTGCGGTTCATTATGATTGCCATCAGCCACACATGGCTAACGAGCACTTGAAATGTGGCTGGTCCAAACTGAGATGTGCTGTCAATATGAAATCACACCCAACTTTGCCATTTTTGTACAAAATAAAGAATGCAAAAGATGTCAATAACGATCTTTATATTGAGTGCATGTTGACATGGTAATATTTGAGGATCCATTGAGTTAAGAAAACTAGATTAATTTTACCTGTTTATTTTTCCTTTTTTACCGTGGATTCTAGACAACTTAAAATTACGTGATATGCGCATGCTCCCACCAGGCCGCAGGGTCTGGGAGAACCCTCAGCAGAGGGGATCTCCCGCTGGGTGGCCCTAAGGAGCTGAGAGCAACGAAGGGCACAGGATGTGGTCCCACCTCAGCTCACAGGAGTTACTCGGAGGAAGAGAAGGCAGAGCTGCCCCTCGTTTTAGGTTTCTACCTCTCAAATTCCTTTGAAGTTAGTTAAATCGGATATGATGTGACTCCACTGGATATAGATTTCGGAACTGAGTTTGTCCATCCCGGTACCGCTCCCCCCACCCCGCAATAATTCAAATGCTAACTGTGGTCATCATCGCTAGGATAGCGATGGGCACAGGAGGCCCCTTATAAGTGCTTTCATGGTCTCAGCAGCCAGGTGAGACCAGCTGCTGTTACTATCTCCACTTGAACAGATGTGAGCTTGAGACTCAGAGATTAAGTAATTGGCTTAAGGTCACACATCTGGAGGTTGACTCAGGAAGCGGGATCCCAGGATCGGTGCCCTTAACGCATTGCTATGCCTGCCTCTCCATCATACAACAATAGTATTAGTCTTTTCTCCAAAACGTAGATGTTGTTCGGTAATTTAACAGCTAAGACATTAAAAAATGTCTGCTGTCTCAGAAGTCGGGGGCCTCGTGCAAGGTCGTGGATGATCCAACTGCTTGTTTTTCCCTAAAGTCACCCCCAAAAGCATCCCTTAGTTCAGTCAGCTTAAAAATGTAGATAGTCTAATTACAACTAAATAACAAATATTAAGTACCTACCATGTGCCAAACACTGTGCCAAGTACTGGGGACACGGAGATAAAGATGACAAATTCCCAGCTCACAAACGACTCAAGTCTCAAGACCTAAAAGCACAGTCCTGCAACTCCGTGTGTTGAGGGGTGTGTGTCCAGTGTCGTGGGAACAGAACCCCACATTTTGGGGTTCAGGGTGAAGGTGTAATAATCTAGAAATCTTCTGAGAGGAGAGAGCGCTTGGGTCATGCAGTATTTACACTGCATGAAGGCCATTGCTAAAGATGACCGTCAAGTTCAGGGTAAGCGTCCAAGTTCCCGGCGGTGAAGCGTGTGCTGATTCCATTCTTATGGTTCCCAGGTACCAGCAAGGTCAACCTCGTGAAGATCCCGTCCACGGCCTCCAGCCCGCGGGACACGGCCCTGGCCGCCGTCATCTGCAGCGCCCTGGCCACCGTCCTGCTGGCCCTGCTCATTCTCTGCGTCATCTATTGTAAGAGGCAGTTCGTGGAGAAGAAACCCAGCTGTAAGTTTCGAGCTCTCGCTGTGTCTTAGCATTTTGTCGAAGTGCGTTTATCGTCATTGTCGTGTGCGTGTCCCACAAGAGAGTTGAGTTGAGACAAGAATCAAGGAGCTGTGAAAGGGACAGAGGGCACGTGAAAGTGGATCCGACAGTCCTCTAGTCCCAACGAGCCACCGAGGGAGCGGACTGATGAGGACAGCGAAAAGGTGGCGATGTCCCCGTGCCACTAGGCAAAAATAAAAACCCTTCTAAGTTCTGGCAACATACGCACGCTACATTTTGGGTCTTGTTGACAAATTATTTCATATTTATGCCTCCGTGTAAGAAGTATTTTAAAATGTGAATGATGGCCTTCCTTGTCTTTAAACGTACAAGTCAGAATGGTGCCGGTCTGCGTCGTGACGTGAACGAAGTCCTTTGCGGAGGACGTCGTGTCCACTGACAGGATTCTTGTCCCTCGTTTAGGGTCTCTGAGAGCACAGGCCATTCAGTACAGCGGTTCTGAACTGTCGTGTTTTGACAGACCTCAGCTCGGCGACTCCGCTCCCAGAGCGTGTTGTCAGTGCCACCGAGACTCGGCCCAGACCTGCGGTAAGTTCGGCCAGTCCAGAGTCCATGAGGGGACCCGGAGGGATGACACTGAACTGTTCCCATTTGTCCCACAGCCGGGTTCTCTGCGTGGTTCTCTGCTGAAAACCAGCCTCATTACACGGTCACTCGCCACCGTTCCCTGATGTCATAGGCATGCTGAGTCTCTTAAGTACCAAAAAGAAAATAGTCATGTCATTAAAATCCTAGAACTTTCCAGCAACTTGCTGAGCAAGTTTGCCTTTGTTGTTTTGAATCAATTGGTTTCAAATAATGTCAACCTTTCATACAGTAGGAGTCTGTCTGCGTCCTTTCTTGTCTGGTGGATTCACACTGAACATTCGTGTGTCTGTCGTAACGTCCTTTGAGATTTCTTAAAGAAGAGGAAGGAGGACACTCTGTGACAGAGTTTTCCACAAACTATAACTGCCTCCTAGATAACTGACAGAAAAGACAGTTCAGGGAAGTAAGCAAATGGAAATTGGCTTCTAATGTGGGCGGAAACAGGCAAAGTGACGTCATACCAACTGTCTTTGCCACTCATTTATATTCATCAACACGAGGTTTCCACACTTACATTCCCCCTCCCATCCCCACCGAACGACCTCACCTCTGCAAAGTAAAGTTCCATGTGGCCAGCAGCCCGCCCCAGCCCCCGCCCTCTCCCCTAGCTCCTTTGGGACAATGCTGAGAGCACCATTTCGTCCCTCATGACCGTTCCCTAAGTGTAACCCAAGGAGAATGACACATCCTCCTGCAACTGCTCAGTCTTCCTTTGTAAGAAATTGCGGGATTCAGCTTGTCGATCTAATATTTCACATGTGGAATAAGGAGTTTCAACATAATTCCTTCTCTACCAATCATGACTGTTCTATTTTAGAGATTTAGGGATCGGTTTAAGAGTGAAATATAGGGCTTTTGTGGTGCGTGCGGATCTGTTTCTGCCTCCGCCCACGTAGGTAATAGACTCTTAGTAGCCCCAAGTGTTCTGTTTCTCGATGCTGCACCATGACGTTGCCGCTAGAATCAGAGTGAGGAGGAATAGTTTCTTGGGAGATGAACTCAAATTTTAAATGTAATAAAATCCAGCTTTGTGCGAACTCTGCCTCATCTTAACTTCTATCTGAAAAGAAAGATTAAATGCACGTTGGCTTTGCCTCATCGCCTCTCCTCAAAACGCTGGGCTTAACTCGCGGGCCACAGCCCAGGCTCACTGCAGCTTATCATGTAGATCGCTTCGTCCTTAATCACAGCACCTTTATTGTTTTAACTTCTTATTTTGAGGTAATTTCAGAATTACAAAACTGTTGAAAGATTAGGGCAGAGAATTCTCACCTACCCTTTACCCGGATTCCCCAAATACTCCCATTTATCTTATTTTCATTATTCACACTTCCTTTATAACATCTTTATGTCTCTAAGTATGCCGTGTGTGTATCTAAATATGTGTGTACATGTTTTGCATATTTTAGGTGTAAACACACATTTTGTGTACGTGTGTATACACACACACATTTTTTTCACTTGCCACTTAAAAACCGTTTGGAGATATGAGGTCCCTTTATCCTTTAATACTTTGGTGTTTGTTTTTTTAAGAACAAGAATATTCTCTTACATAACAGCGTGATTATTAAAACCAGGAACCGCTATTATATAATCTACAGAGCATATTCATTAAGTAGTGCTATTACATGATCTACATAATGCTATTACATAATTTTCAGAGCACATTCAGATTTTCTTAATTGTCCCACTAATGTCCTCTCTAGCAAAAGAAAATCCCAGATAACACTGTGCATTTAGTTGTCCAATCTCTTTACCCTCATCGAATCTGGAATAGTTCCTTCATCTTCCTTTGCGTTTCCTGACACTAATAATTTCGACGAGCACAGGCCAGTCATTTTGTAGAATGACCCTCAGTTTGGGTTTTCCCGACGTTTCCTTGTGGCTAGATTCAGAGGTACCACATAGCTGGCGTTGATCTTTCTCCGTGCCCCACACCAGGAGGCACAGCGCGTCCATCTGTCCCGTTCCTGGCCACGGTAACCCGGTCACTTTGTTAACGTGGGGTCTGCCAGCTCCCTCTGCTCTGCGGTTATTGGTGTTCCCTGTAATTAACAAAAACCTTGCAGGCGATTCCTTGAGACTGTGTAAGTATCCTGTTGCTCTCCCAACTTTGGCCCAGTAGCTGAGCATCCTTTGGTGATTCTTACCTGAGTCGCTTATCATTGGGATGGTTCACATGCTGGTTTTCTAATTTTATCCTTCTTTCTACATTCGTTCGTCGTCTTCCTCTGGTAAGAAGGAACTTCCCTTCATTCCCCATTTATTTATTTCCTTTAATTAGTGTGGACGCGTGGACCCCATACACTCCTTTGCCGTCGTTATTTCGATCATTATTTCGATCCTCAAATTTTCCTAGACATGGCCAGTAGAAGTCCCTTCAAGCTGGTTCAAGTGCTGTTTGGACATATTTCATTATTCTTTTAACACTTTCTTACTTTCTGGTACAAAAAGAAGTTCCAGGCTCACCTTATAACTTTCCTTGCTTGAGCCCTAGAACCAACCATTTCCATGAGGAGTGGCAGTATTTTTTGCTTTTAAATAATTTTGAAAAATTCCCCAGTAGACATGACACACGTTTGTTGAGTTCCTTGGTAGTGACTCCAGGTGAGTTCCCATTGGTCATAGTAGTAAGCATTCAGAGAACTCAGGATGGCGGCCTGCGTTGAGAAAGATTCAGACAGAGGTGTATTGGGTGTCCGCTCTACTTAACATTCGTTTGCAATTGTATCTCAGTATTTAACGTTCCCTTTTTCCAAAAGGGAAATACTAGTTTCATAATGTTATTTTCTGAGTATAAAAGTAAAGAGGTAATACTCATGAAAAGTTTGACTACACATACATATATATGTATACATAAATATATAATTTCTTGAAATCTTTCTTCTAAAAATACGTGTGTATATTTGTATTGCCTGTATGCTTTAGTATGTTTATAGTTTTTTTAAAATCAGCGTTATATGTTTATGCAAATATAGAGAAGTCTAGAAAGCTGTTCGCCAAATATCGACGGTGTTTATTTTCAGTTTATAGAGTGCGGGAAGATTTATTTTTAAATTTATCTAATACCTGTCCTTATTTTTAAATTTTTTATTATCTTCATAACCCAAAATACGTACTGCTTCTGTGACCAAAATGGTTTATAAAGCTATGTACACATATCTAGTTATTCCTTAAGTTTCACTCCTAGCAGTAAAAACAAAAACAACATGTGTGTGTGCGTGTGTGTTGAGCTGAAGCAGTTGAACGTTTTTGTGTTCTCGTTCTGCATTGCTAGACCACGCAACAAAAATGTTCCGTCGCCGCTGCCATCAGCCGCATGTGACCATCATTTTACATACCCTCTTACAGACTGCATCATCGCATTTCATCCCTTATTTTAGTGTGGTGAGATGAGCTGAAGCAGTTGAAGGTTTTTGTGTTCTCATTCTGCATTGCTAGACCATGCAACAAAAATGTTCCGTCGCCAGTCAGCCGCACATGACCGTCATTTCACATACCCTCCCACAGACTGTGTCATCGCATTTCATCCCTTATTTTAGTGTGGTGAGACAGATGTAACATAAAACTTACCGTTTTAATTATTCGTAAGCGTACGGTTCCGTGAGCTAAGTACATTCACATCATTGTGCAGCCATCGCCGCCACCACCGACTCCAGAACTTTGTTATCTTCCCAAACTGAAACCGTCTCCGTGGATCACAAACTCTCCATCCCCCCAACCCCCAGCCCCTGGCACCCACCCTTCTGCTTTCTGTCTCTCTGAATTCGACCACTTTAGGTACTTCATATCAGAGGTTCATTGTTTTTTACAATAACAACAAAAGAGAAAAAAAATCAGCGTCATATCCCCCTTTCCCCAAAAGTTACCCAAATGGAAATCGCTAAAATTTCAAGAACGGTCTCGAGCTGGTATTGAAAGAGAACATTTCCAGAAAAAAAGTGTCGTGCCTCACACGTCTGCTGGTCTTCCTAGGGCCTGTTCACTTGATCCCGTCCTTGTGCTGTGATGACGCCTGTAGCCTTGACCGCGCGGCTCCTGGTTGTCGGGTGCAGTCCAAGGCCACGCTCCAGGAGAGGTATCCGGGTATTTTTAAGAATGTAATTTCATATTCCCGTGTGCAAATATGCACTCTACTCATTTACCAATTTCCGTGTGAAACGCTTGAAAATGTTCCACGGGGGCATCACTTTTTTGGTATCGTTAATGACATCCTGGACATTGGAAGGGCATGTGTTTGGCAAGAATTAGTTGAGTGTCTCAGAATTACTAATACCCAATGCAACGTTTTTCATACTTTATACTCAATTTTATGTTTGTCTCATATTCATGCTTTGTGACACTTCTGTCATTGCAAGTAATTTTTAACATGTCATGTACTCTTAGACTTTTAGAGCAGCCATCAAACTCAGTTAAGACCCAGGAAACTTTTTGCATATTTTAAACATCAGATTAAATATAACTATGTTGATTAGAAGTAGGTATATAAATTTGCTCTTAAAGTAAACAGAGTAACTGAACTTACTGTGTTAAAGCAAGTTCATAACAACAAGAAGCACTAGAATTCTGACTTAATACATTGCTATTTCATCTAGAAAAGGGAAACGCGTACATTGCTTGGTAGTGGGGTGTTTTCTTTCCACAGAGCCGTTAACAGTCTTGTGAACATGTGTTCAGAAATGCAGGTCCAATGGGGGACACGATGCCGGCCCTCTTCCGGTCCCTTTCTCCGTCCACCTGCGGCGAGTTTTCAGATGCCTGGCCTCTGATGCAAAATCCCATCTGCGGTGACAGCATCTCTTTTTGTGACTCTTACCCGGAACTCACGGGAGAAGACATTCGTTCTCTCAGTCCGGAAGACGAAAGCTCATCGTCCTTGGGTTCAAACCGTGGTCAGGGTTCGGTTGGTGGCGCTTTTTCAATTCAGGCTCCGTCCGAAAACTTTACAGAAACTGCAGATTTATCTAGACGCAGGAGCTCGCTGACAGAACCGGTGCTGACTCAGGATACACGAGCCGTTAGCAGCCGGCAGGATCAGACGAGTGGCGATGTCATCAACCTAACCGCTCAGATGTGCCCCCAGGTAAGGCGATGCTTGACTTCGGAGTGGACGTAGCATTCCCCGCGGAGGACCACAGGGAGTGGAACCCGATTCCCACCGCCAAATGCGGGGGAAAAGGCTGAGAAGTTTTCCATCTTTCACAACTTCTTGTTTGTTGTAGGAGAATATATTTTAAATTAAATTTCTCGAGTTATTTTTTTTTGACAGCTAATGTGTAAGGCCAGAAAAGACAGCTGCATGTTCTTATTCTTCTTTGTAAATCCCATTACAGTTGACCCTTGAACGATGTGGGGGTTGGAGGGCCATCCCTCTTACAGTCGAAAATCTGAGAGTAACTTTCAACTCTTCAAAAACCTAACTACTAATATAGCCTGCTATTGACCAGAGGAAGCTTTATCAATAACGTAAACAGTCAATTAATACATATTTTGTCTATTATATGGATTATGTACAGTATTCTTATAATAAAGTAAGCTAGAGAAAAGAAAACATTATTAAGAAAATCATAAGGAAGAGAAAAAATATTTACACCACTTATACATATTTACTGAAATAAATCCGCTTAGTTCAAACTCGTGTCATTCAAGGGTTGACTGTACTTAGCACAGCGCCCTAACTGCATTCGTGATTGAGAGAGATGACCGAGTTATGAGGGCATCTTGTCAACAATCCCTCGCCTTCGTTCGTCCTTGAGATAGTCTAATGCCCAATACTTAAATGAACTTCATTCGATGTCAAGTTCATGAGCATTTGGGTCTCCTGAAGCTACTCCTTTCCCTCCTCTCTTTTGCCATTGTTTTCTAGATCACTGTGCTTTGACTGATTGATCAGTTTGGTTGGAAATTGATTGTCAGCTGTGATCTGGGACTAAATGCAACATGAGAACCTTCTAGATAGAAGGGTTTAAAAGCAGGTTTTGCGGGGGGCGGGGGGGGATGGTGACTGCAGACCTGGAGGCAGAGAGGCACTCAGGAACACCTGGCACCATCCCTGCTTTTTCCTCCAGGTGAGGATGTGGCCTTGGCTGAGTTCGACTGAACGTTTATAAATATTGCTTTAATGTAAGCACATATATCGTGGGTGTGCATCCTTCTGGAAGAATGATGCTGGCCAGGCTTAGGCATCAAAGAGCAGAGTCACAGCAAGTGGGAGGCTCCCAGGCCCCATGAGACAGACCAACACTGTTCTCACCGCTTGTCCCTCCTGCCCCAGTCAGGACCCTGGGGGCTGAGACAGCCCGTGACACGTGCTCCTGAGCGCGTCCTTGTCTACTCATATCAAAAACGGTCTAAAGTCACAGTACGGGTGGAGATGTGTTCCTTTTAAGAATAGTATGCAGGTTATATATTGATCTAAATCCTCAGTACTTTCTTTCAACTACAAAAATTCTATAGAGAATTTATAGGGAGTTCCGTACAAAAGCATTTGTTGGCTTTGGGTTTAGAAAATGTTGGTTTTTCTCAAAATAAAGGAAATGAAGAAGAGATAAGTGAAGGGAGGAAAAACAAACAAATTAGGCAGTTAAAAAAAAAAACATAAAATGCATACCTCTGTAGCCGGGAAAGATTGTTTACCGACCTTGTTCTTTTGACCCGCCCCATAATTGTTATAACTTTCATGATAATAATAAAAATAGACTTAAGAGTTAGCCTGGCTGAGTATAAGCCTCAGGAAAGGCTTTCGGCCCACAAACCATTGGGGCTGAGAACGCCCAGCAGCCCAGAGCAGGTAACCGGCCCTGAGCACAGGTGAGAGATGCAGAAAACAGGATGAGGAGGACACAATCCCTTTCGCAACTAATCCCAACATCCCAATCGGATGCCTTGCCACCTACTTCAAAATAAAAGTATTAGGACTCTTAAAAATTAATCTGAGTTACATCCTCATGACAAGATGCAGAAGTTTCTTATAGATCAAGTCAATTGTTTTTGAGGACAAACTTACTTTCACAAATACGTATGACTGCTTCCTGCACACCATTGTTGGGAAAGTCTAAGTAACGAGAATAATTATGCTACCAACTGGCCAACTACCATTCTTCAGAGTATCGCCTGCAAACAGAATTACCGCTCATCTTAATTTTGTAGTTTGTCCCCAGTTTCGTGAAGTAAATTCCAGGACTAAGGAATGAAACGTTTTGATTCCAAGTCATATCGTAACCAGCTCACTCTCTGCCTTTTTCTCTTTGCGTTGTTGGTGAGGTGGAGGCAGGGTTGATGAGTGCTATCATCACAGCTACGTGAATTAATGTTTTAGAACTAGTTTTAGAAAGATTGGTGCATGATGACATTCATCCCATTGCAAAGGCAGTTGTCAGGGTGATTATGATCTACACAAAGATACTTTCGGCTCAAATTATTATAAAAAGAAAGTTATAATTACATATAGAAGAATGAGAAAACATTGCATTCAAGTTGTACAATGTAATTTATCAGTGAAAGGTTTTTATTAGCTCTCCAAGAATGTTATCTTATAATTATTAGGTAATTTTGATAAATCTAAATAAGACATTCTTAATTCAGGGAAGGAATTATTAAAATGTAAATCATTGCAGCTTTTGCCCTAAAATTAAAAACGGCAAATAGTATTTTGAGCCCATTCTAAGAGACAATGTTTCCAGATTCCACAGATCCCTTTCTCTTGGCTTGCATTTACCGAATGTGTGAGACTTAGTGAATGAACCTTGATCTTTAAAAGAAAACAGGAGATAGCCATGACTGTGCATCTTTGGGAAATTTACCCTCTTCTTTATTTCAAGGGTCAGCAAAGCACGTAACTTGTTCAATCTATTAGACTCCAAAAAGCATTTCAGACTCCCCGCAACAGGCAACTTCTCCGAGGTAAAGAACATACTTACTTCTAATACAAAAATTTGACTTCAGCAGCTTACTATTATGAACCGAAGCAAAGGAACTTCAGGTTCTTCAAGGTCATGTTTAGTCAGCTTGGCTCCCTGGCATGGGATCATTCATAATTCAGAAAAGCACTGTGTTTCCGTTTGGGGGATATATAAGTGCAGCTAACGCCGTAATAGCCTTTTTTTTTAAGTGATGATTTTACTTTAAATAAAACCTTAAACTCCGCCCCAGGTCTTCACTTATATTTTCAGTTTGTTGACCTCTGTCCACTCTTTTTTCCACAGCTTCGTTGAGCTATAACCGGCATGTAGCATCGTGTAAGTTAAAGGTGCACGATGTGATACACGTATTTATCGCAAAATGCAAAACGGCACGTTTGTCTTTCCTGGGTGCAAGGCTCAGATTTCTACTGCGTGTTGCAGTTGTTTCCAAAAACTTTATTTTTGCACAGTAGTTATCTTGTGGGTGGTTTGAGACCACCCAGAATCTGATGATAATCGTTACAGTTCAGGATAAAGCAAATGAGTGTGAGAGCCGTCTCTAGTCTGTGTGACAATTTTAATCGAATTTTCCCTATTCATACCTCCCCCAGAAGGAAACAGAACTAAGATATTTGGAGGAAAGACTCTAGTGTTTTTACTTACAAGAAAAGCTTTTTTGGTGGTGTTTTTTAACCAACATTTTAAGTGTCGACATGAAATAATAGAATGGTAGGAAAGTTATGAATTGATCTGGGTTCTAGTTTTTCAGTCTCTTAAAATCTCTGTTTTCTTTCTTATTGGCAAAATGAGTATAATTTGCCTCCCACGGCAGCATTAATGTGGTTATTATTTTATTAATTGATCAACATATTTGACAAAACTATCTCTTATTATCGGGAGTACCTCAGAAGTTTCTCTTTCTATATAATCTCCTGAGACCTAAGGGAAAAAAAAAATTTATAAACTTATCTGATATGTCACCAATGCCAAATTGGTGGTACACAGTTAATGAAGGGCCACTGAAGGTTTTACTCACTCAGAGAGTCAGTTGACGCCTCGTTTCCTCATGAGGTGAGGTCACTGGTCTTCTGTGACAAGGACAAATCTAGCAGCTTTGTCCTTATTAGTGGAGGACATCAGCCCTGTGAATGCGAGTATTCCAGAGAGATCATTATAAGAGAAATCTCATTCCCAAACTATTTCTAAACTGTCTCCGATAGTTTAATATAAGTCTTAAATTCAAAGACCAAGAATGGCACTCTTCATTAATCATCTTTGTTCTTCTAAAACCACAGGGCTTCTAAGACCTTTATCTACAATGCTTTCAAGGAGAGCAACACAGAAACAAGCTTTAAATGTTTGAACGAGGTTGAGAATCAGCAAGAATTGTTCGTTAATGCATTTTGTTTGCTACGCGTTACATTATCATCTTTTAAGTACTCTCTGCAAATATTGAGTGACTAAGAGTTGTTATGAAATCGTTTATTCTCAGAGCACATGGGTACCTGGATATTTGAATGCCATTCCTGTCCATGTGTCATTAAATTCATGTGTACTGCCGGTAAAAGTTATGTATATTAATTTTTTAGCACGAGTATTGCAGCATTAAGTCGTAAGGTGTGGTTTTTAAAACTTCCCTCCCGTTGATGTTTTAGGAGGTTTAATGGAGTCTATCCTTGCTGGAACAGAAGTGCGCATACAGAACCCAAAGGCACGCGCTGCCCTGCGTATGCTGGACTGAGCAAGGTCTGGACCCGGCATGGCGTCTGGGGGAAAAAAGTACATCTGAACCGACCCGATGGCATTTTACGCCTGTCAGCCAGTTGCTTCTGAGCCAGACCGGCTGTAAGCCGAAACCTCAAGGAATAACAAGAAAAGACTGCAGGCTCTCCCGACGCTTTTGCATCTTCCCTAGGCAAGAAGCTTCCATGCCACAAGCCTGACTTCAAAGACGGATGCGTCGACTTTGCAGCCTACGGGATTACGGGCCGAAACAAGAACCAGAAATACGGTCATGCTCATTTTCATGGTGAACGTGGTTTTACAAGACCGAAGACCCAGAGTCTAAATTTTCATCTGCATTTTCCTTCCGAAAATGCTTTCACGTAGCCGACTATCCTACTGAAAGTCAATGTCAGATTAGTTCCCTTAGTTTTTACGTAGAATGGGTTTGAACGTGAGTGTTTCTCTTTGATGAAGGTCACTTTTTCATCATCTAAACTAATTAGCTTAGAAGGTCAGAACCGACTTCACACTGCCTGCCTCAATCTTGGGTTCATTAGGCGAGGTCAGTTGGCCTAACCAGGAATCAGAGCGATAGTGTTGGAGCTAGAACGAGAGGATGGAGTTAGGAAAAGAGGAGGGAGAGGGGCCGTCCGTCACTCTGCATCCGAAACCACTTACCACACGTATCCTAGAGACTTGCATGCAACGATGAGCGTCTTTCTGTGAAAATCAGTGGATATGGAAGCGTTTATTACTCGGTCCCTGTGGCCGGGCTTAGAAGATCCAGAATTTCTCTTGTATAGAAAAGTATTTAGGAAAAGAATCTTCTGTTCTTCCCCACCCCACCCCCGTCCGGAAACCACCAATCCGTTCTCTATATCTGTGAGCTTGGTTTGGGGGTTTTGTGTTTGTTTTTGATTTTGCATCATATCTTATCATAAGGTCTTTAGAAAGTACAACCTGTCAGGATCCCCCGCTACTGAAATGCATCATCCGGTGAGCAGTCTTATGAGACCACACTACGTATTAGAACCAGAAGAAAAAGCACAATTCGTCGGCAGCGTTTAGCCCTCGTGTAGTTTGACCAGGACATTGTAGTATCGCCCCTGGTCCTGTAAGCTTGGTTAGGACGGTAATGTCCCATCTTAGCCAGATGATGCTGGGTTTGAGCCTGGCATTTCTGTTCAGGCTCTCACTCCATCTCGCCCTCGAGGTATTTACACACCAGAATTGTCTCTGGAGCCGACAGAAATGAACCCGGTTCATTTGCTCTTCGTCTTTATGCCCTGGAGAGGGATAAATTGAGCAAGGTTTATTTTTTTTCCTATTTGATCAGATCTGGCCTTTGTCTTTTCCCTTATTACTATGAGCTCTGTCCCCTTTGCACTTAAGAAAGAAATAGATCTTTGAACATCGGCGTGTTACAGTGTGCTAAAATATTTTATTTTAGAATCGCCCCACCTAAATCAGTGTCTTTTACCTAACATTTAAACTGAACATTAAAAATCTGTCTTTCTTAGAACATCTTTGTCTTCTCGCTTACTACCCCATGCTTTTCTCTCTTTGTAAAACATTAGTGAATCCCTGTGGCTGGAAGTTTATCCACAGTTTCAGGCTCTCATGTGTGTATATTAGCTTGCCTGGGTTTGGTACCTCTCGTGACCACAGTCCCTTTAACTGACATAGGAAATCAGAGTGACTCATGGTAACCCACAATCTTTTGTGTCTACTAAGTGCCCAGTCACAGCTGAACGACTTTGTCTTGTCCTTTTTTAACATAAACCAGTGGTTCTTAAACTTCGATACCAACTTTTATGAGAATTGCCTTTAGGGAACTCAGGTGAAATTGTTAGGATTTGACCACGAAATGGCTTTAAAAATGCAAGCAGAGTGTCCCTGAGGGCTTCGCCGTGATTCACATACGTGTGCCTTCGTTTGCAGTCTGATCATTTTTGTTATGACAGGGGGATGATCAAAGTCGGCTGGGGTTGTGCTCATTTTCGTAACCTGAATATATCTTCCATATGTAGAGCCCTCGTTGATTTTAAAGACAAACACTCGCTGGAGAAAGCTAGATTGATGGGAATGAGACTCGGGCCCCAAATCCTGAAACATCACTTTTGATCAGTAGAGAAATACTTCAGGTCGAAAGTCGATTTGATGTGATACCGCGTTTGAGAAATCCTGGTTTATTTTTTATCAAGATGAAGACGTTTTACCCCCACCTACTATAGAAACATACAGTGTTATATAATCTGCGCTCTTTGTAAGCACTTGAGAGAGAAAAAAAAAAAATCCATTTTGCATTTCACTTTGTTGGAATATCCTGCAGCCCTCACGTATACTCAGCTGCTAGGGCGCCAATGCCAGGAAACCATCAAGTGACCGCACGGCTGGCAGGGCCCGATGGTGACTTTGAATGCTGCACCAACTCATCCACAAGAATAAGACGGAGGTTTGGAGAGCGACCACGGAAAAGCATGGGTTTTTCTAATTTTGTGTATACGGAATATATTTTTCAAATATAGATGTTTCTACTTTAGATAAAGTATAAATGTTGCTGTTACCTAGATTGAGCACGATGATGTGCTAGTAAAAAAAAAAAAAAAAAGATGAGAAAGGAGGAAAAAAATTCGTCTCTGCTTTAAGGTAGCTGGAATCAATTTAGATCGCATCATTACCGTTTTGCCTACTGGAATTTATAAATTTGTAAATCTTCGTTTTTCTTGTATGAATAGTTTTGTAATACCTTTTTTTTTTTTTTTCCAATTTGTGAATAAAATCGTCATCTGGTGTTCTTAGTTGCACGTCCCGTAAGAAAATGATTGATGGTGTGAATGCTAAGTTCTGGTCCTTCCAATGTGACCCTCTCTGGCCCCTCAGACTTTATGGGGGACATTTGAGATCCTTGCTGGTGACCCGGCTATATTTCTCAGGCACGTCAAGCTATTGAAAAATGCTTTGAGTTATTTGAGAAGCTTCGGCATCCAGATTTTATTATGATCTCGTTTCCCCCCGCCACCTCCTTCATTTTATGACACAAAGAGGGGAGGAACTAAAGAAGGAGAAGTTTTACGTTCATTCTTTGTGGGGGTCAGGAGGGCGTTCCACAGAGGAGGGGTCTGAAGACGCGGAGACGCTGTCGCAGAGCCGGGCCGCCCCCCAGAAGTGCCCGTTTCCCTTCCTAGCTTCTCGCACCCCTCCTTTCTCAGCCCTTTTATTATCCCTCCTTCCCTTCTTTTCCCCTCAGTAATGCTTCCAAAGCTGTTATTAGATTTCGAGAGAGGACTTTAAACTTCCTGGGAAAAACTGGGTCATCTTAAAGCGACAGCAGCTCTCCAGCTGGTGAGTCGGTGGTGGTGGTAATGGATAGCGTGGCTTCCTCGGGGCGGAGGGGTGGGGGAGACTTGGGCTTCTTTCCCCCTCCCCCACCCCCACCTGCACCCCAGGCCCTCGGCTCTGTGGACTTTGCTGGTGTCCACGAAGACTGGCTGGGTTTATAGGGGCCCCAACTCTCTGAGAAAAGTAACTCAAAGCCTATGAGGTTCTAGCTGGCGGTCTCAAGTGTTCTATAGCCCCATAAATGACACATTTTCATTAATACCACTATTATGAAGGTCTCTTTGCAGTTGGCTGTTTGTCATTCTGAATTTGTCTCCTCGTCTCATTTTAACTCGAGAAGATACTATGTGACTTTTAAAAACCTATTTGGCACCGAGTAAAGTTGTAAACACAGCTTAAATGTATTATTCGGTCATCTTGAAACTGAACAGCAATCTGAGGACTTCCAGAATCTTCTGTAATATCTAATAAATTTCAGTAAGACCTGGTATGTGATTCTAAAGATGTAATTACACCGAATGAAGTCGACAGTTCACAGTAATATTGCTTATGTCACAAGATTTCTGCTGCGGAGATTAAGCAGGCCGGGGGTCAGGTCCTTTCAGAAACCACCAGTGGCATTTGAATTAGTGTGATTTATGGCTGCTTTCAACTTAGCCTCTCCAAGAGACTTGAATTTTAAAAACTTAACCAGCAAAGCCCCTTTCTCTGAAATCACGGGTGGTCTTCTGAAGCAGATGTCAATTATTAGTGTATGAAGACAGAGGAATCTTTCTTTTTATCTTAATTTCTAGTGGCATTAAGGATTCCCACTGAAGGCAGAAATAGCTGTGTTCTATCGGTTTTGTTCGGGGTTGAGTTTAGCCAGCAGATCTCTGTGGAGGGATTTTCCTTACGTAGTTTGACTATTTACAGTAAATAGAAGATCTACAGAACCTTCTGCTGGTAATCCTTTAATAGCTGGTTAGGGAGGCGGGTTAGGGAGGCGGGTTAGGGAGCCCGGCTGCCCCACAATAAGGCTCACATCACACACCTTGATGCGCCCGTCCCATCCGATGGCTCCTCTTGATGTTCTAAACACAGGACTAATTCCCCACAGAAAACTCTAAGAGGCCCATTTCCTACATCCAGCCTTCATTCATCTATACACCGTACATTCAGATAGCAGCATACGGTACGTACTTGGTAGCGAATGCAATGCCAGGGGCGAAGCGGACGCTACGGAGTAAGGGAGAGACACGCCTGTTAAGGATTCGTAAAATAGGTCTTGATTGTAGAGACACAAGTGCGAGTTCACCTGGGACCCCGGGAGCTGGGCCGTTCTCGGGGAGTCGAGAAGAGCACAAAAGCCGGATGGTATTCGGGTAGGCCCCGAAGGATCGCAGGGGGCTTGGCCCGCAGCGGGAGAGTGGAAGGCGCGGGCACAGCACGTGCAAAGGCCCGGCTTATTCTGAGAGCGGTGAGCAGCACGGTGGCCAGAACGTGGGGAGTAGGGGACACTGCTGGGCCCTGAGTGCCAGCTTGACAGGTGTCTAGTCTGCTGTGCCCTGGGCGTTGAACTGAGCCTGGAGGGGGTTTACTTGCCTTTAAACAAATGGATGACATGACGTAAACGTCTAACGTCTCCAGTCTTTCAGAAGCTCGGAAGGTAGAAAACTAGGCGAGGAGACCTCGCTCCAGAAGCAGAATAATCCCAGCAATGGAGAAGACACAGCCACCTGGACAGTGGGCAGAGGTGGACACTCAGTCCCTGGTCGGGAAGTAGCCTGTCTGTCATCGAGGTCACCTTGGTCCCATCCTGATTTTGAAGGGGGACAGAGCCAAACGTGAGAAATATGTTTAGGACGTGGCCAAAGCAGCTGCCCACGTCAAATCGACATGCAACCCGAGCCTGAGACAACCAAAGCCAGGGGCGACAGTCCACCCACCTTTGCGGGGCTGGGGACAGCATCATACATCTCGCCCCAGCCAGGGCTCAGACTGAAGGTCCTGCTCAGCTGTGAGGGCCAAGCACCTCGGCGCCCACATCTGAGTCAGCCTTGGGGGTGAACTGTATTTGTCTTTTCATTTTCCAAATCTTAGCCAATCACCTTCACCTGTGGACTAAAATCACCTCCACCTGTGGACTAAAATCACCTTCACCTGTGGGCTAAAATCTCACTTCTTTTCTCGGCCCCTTATCCTTATCTGAGAAATGCTGCCACTTCGGCTGTTTGTTCCCCTCCTGGCCGAGCGGCCTCCCCACAGGAAGTCCGTGGGGCAGGGGGACTGCTGGCTGGGCCGGGGCGAGCAGCTGGGCCCTGGTCTTTCTGCTTCTTCGCCTTCTGTCACTTCTGCTCGCGAGGAGGCCTCGTCTCCCTGGCTGTGCTCACACCCCCTGCAGTGATTGAAAGCCACAGGCCACATCCAGGATCTTTTCGGATATTTTGACCACAAATAAGTGTACTGAGAGGTAAATAAACAGGCCAGCAAGGAATAGAGCCCAAGGATGAAGTTGGGGGAGGGGTCACCCAGAAAACCCCAGAATCCTCCCCCAGAACCCTGCTCTCATACTTGAGGGTGTCACCCCACGTGCTCTCCAGATGCCCAGAACTAACTTGACTTTCAGGAGAATGAACGTGTTAATGCTCAGGCTGCTAAAAGCTGGCTTTGGATCTTGAGAGAAAGTGGGGTTTACGCAGTATTTTTTCAAATGCAAGACTTAGAAAGTACAGGGTCAGAGTGAGGAGGAAAATTAGAATTGGTGCTTGTAGAGAGGAAATGTCACCTCCTTCAGTTACCACCTGCTCCTTCCTGTCATGCCCCTCACTGTGGGACCTAAAGTCCTGGTCTCCAGCTTTCCAGCCACACAAGTTCCAGCAAATCTGTTGTCACCTCGGTCACCTGACAGCTACTGGCTGGATTCACGCGGTGGCACCCGAGATGAAACGGAGCAGAGCCCAGGGTTGCAGTCCAGTCATGTCTGGCTGTAGACTTTGTGTTCCCTAGAGGAATCTCAGGTTAAGAAAATCTGCACGGGAACACCTGAGTGCAGCTGTCAAACCTGAGGACAGAGGCAGCTTCGCAGATGTCCTTTCCTGAAATGTAAGTTTGACGAGGACATTACGGAAGGCCAGGTCCCAGTTGAGGCCTCTTCAGAGAATGTCCTCTCTCAGTTTATAAACCTGTCAACTACCCACAACTCTGTGGAAGGCAGTTTTTTAGATGAGATTGACATTTAAATCAGTCAACTTCTAGTAAAGCAGATTACTCTCCATAATGCGGGTGGGCCTCATCTGATCAGTTGAAGGACTTAAGAGCAAAGACTGAGGTTCCCTGAGGAAGAGGGATATCTGCCCCCAAATGGTCTTCAGATTCAGCTGCAGCATCAACTCTCCCCTGCTGGCCTGCCTGGCAGGTTTCAGACTTGTCAGCCCCCCCAATCACATGAGCCAGTTCCTTAAAATACCCCCCTCTCTACACACACACACACACACACACACACACACACTCACACATTGGGTCTGTTTCTCTGGAAAACACAGACTGATAATACAAGGGCTAATTGGTCAATCAATCCCCCAAGCTAAATAGATACCAGTGATCAAAGCTTGCAGAGTGGCTGGTAGAATCCCAAGAATTTCTTCAAATGTCACATGAGGAGCATTGATCTGTAGGTCTGAAACTTCTGGAACTTCTCGTCTTCTTCGGGCACAGTTTCCTTTGCTCATTCCCCTTTCTCTTGCCTTCTTCCTAATAATTCGGATCGAGATCCTAACCCTCCATTTTTCTTTACTCTGTAGACTTTGCCCCTCATCAAAGATGAAATCCTCTATTAGGGGAAAACCTGGCTCTAGTTGGTTTTGGTATGATGACTAGATATTAGTTCAAGGAGCATAAGCGAAAGAAATCTATGGTTCTATTCTGAAAAAAATGGCCCAAACGATTCCTTTTGAAGTGAGCCCGTGCATTGAAACACAATTGTCATTTGTTATTAGACATGGAAAACAGCCCGTAAGCATGATGTCAGCTGCCTCAGAGCTAGAGACCTTTTAATTAGTCTCTCTCTCCAGCAATTCAGGAAGCGGGAATTACTTTACTGTAAAAAGAGTGTACACGGAAAGAGCCCGAGGTCCCCAGTGACTCAGACAGAATCAAAGAAAGCAGCTCTGTCATCTATAGTTCCCAAGCATCGTTTTCCTGAGTCCAGCAGAAGCTTGTTCCCCAAGACCCAAAGTCCCTGCAAGCATAACGTTTCCCTTCCTCAAAGCCAATCCCACCTACGTAATCTTATAAACCCACTTCGGGGGACCAGTCTATGTTCACTATAAAGATAGGTTCTGCACTGTTTTCTAATACTGGGGTTCAGGATCCTAGGAGTGGCACCCCAGAACATTTCTCTCCCTGGTCTCAAGGTCCATCGTGCCATTTCATAAGCAAACTAATTCAGTTGCCAGTTTCCAATCTTCCTCAATCAAAT